CTACGAACAGCTAGACGAGCAACAGCGTCACGAGTGGTCCACTGCGAGCGAACAGTACTGTCAGCAGTGGCAGTAGGAGCAGTGGAAACACCGGACGTGTGATCGAAAAGGGATACCCCATCCCTTGAATCACACTGAAGAAAGAGCTGTAGGTCATCTACCCATACGTCAAAGTCAAGTGCACGTCCCTCAGAGTCAAAGGTGAGAACTGTAGGACTAGCCATAGCAGCAGTAGGAGCAGTAGCAAGAGTAGCAGCAGCAGCAGCAGTAGCAGCAGTGCAGTAGTAGCAAAAGCAGTGCGGCTCGGCGAGGCGGCGCGGCTCGGCCGGGCGGCGCGGCTCGGCTGGGCGGCGCGGCTCGGCTTACCAGAGACAGGTGCAGGGGCGGGCCGTGACGGAAGGGGGCCGCGCCAGCAGGAGTTCGTCAGCAGGGACCGGCAGGGGCGCGTCAGTAGGGGCCGGCTGGGGCGCGCCAGTAGGGGCCGGCAGAGGCGCGCCAGGAGGGGCCGCGCCAACAGGGGCCGGCAGGGGATCGTCAGCAGGAGCCGGCCGGGGGGCGCGACAGTTGGGGCCAGGAAGGGGCCGCGAAGGGCCGTGAGGGGCCGCGACTGGCCGCGAAAGGGGCCGCGAGGGGCCGTGACGGGGCCGCGACAGGCCGTTAGAGGGGCCGCGAAGGGCCGCGAGGGGCCGCAAAGGGCCGTGACGGGGCCGTGACGGGGCCGCGACGGGTCACTAGAGGGGCCGCGAAGGGCCGTGACGGGACCGCGAAGGGCCGTTAGAGGGGCCGCGAAGGGCCGCGACGGGTCGCTAAAGGGGGGGGCGTGAAGGGCCTTAAGAGGGTCCGCTAGGGGCCTGAAAAGGGGGGCCGCGAAGGGCCTTAAGAGGGGCCGCGAAGGGCCTTAAGAGGGGCCGCGAAGGGCCTTAAGAGGGGCCGCTAAGGGCCGCGAAGGGGCAGCGACGGGCCATTAAGGGCAGGAAAAAAAAAATTCAGTGGTGGGCCCAAAAAAATCGAACCAGCTCTATACCATGTGAAAATTATGAGAGGAAAATGAATGAACTAGACAGCAGGTGGGTACAAGTATGAAACACAAAAGTGTTGTACCCTCTAAGAACTTCCCCACTACAGCCTAAACAGACTATAGCATATATAAGTTTGACATGTATGTCGACGACTTGCTCTACACAGGGACAAGCAACACGCTACTCGACCAGTTCGAAAAGAACCTGGCGATGCGCTTCGACATCACCACTAATCACGATATGAAGCTGTTCTTGGGCCTTAATATCACTTACGCGCTAGAGGCCATTCATCTCTCAGCTGCTAAGTACGTTGAGACACTAGAGAAGTGGTTCAACTGTTAAATTAGGTAGCATAGGAGGGAGGAGCAACCTTAGGAGCCATGCCTAAGGTGTTGAGCTAGGCATCGACTATCGAGAGGTTTGAGAAGGAGAAGGGGTTTCACTATAGAAAGTGGAGTACAAATAGGGTAGGAAAGGTGGGTACACCACCAAGCAGGACGTTAGGATAACTACACTAAGGTTAGAACTACATGCAGTTGTAATATAATTCTGACATCAACATCTCCCCTACACCACTCTCCACTCCTTATCGCACGCCTAGACCGAACTACAAACCCGACAACAAAGCCCTTTCCCCCGTAGGTCTTCACACTGACCAGCAGCAACTGAGGTGCCCGCTCTTTGCCTTAGTAACCTACCGGCCAGACCTTTCGTACATCGCGAGCTAGCTGGCTCATTACTCTCACAAACCAACAGCTGAAAATCTCCTAAATCTTCAGCGCACCAAGCAATTCCTCATCTCCACCCCCAACATTGGGCTCTGCTACTCCATAGTCACAACCCCCTCTTTCAACCTTATTGGCTACGTGGATGCCGATCACGCTGCTGACCCCGACAATCGACGGTCTAGAACCGGGTTCCTGTTCCGCCTCGAGCCAACAGGTCCCATCTCCTGGAATTCACAGAAGCAAGAACTGGTTGCCCTGTCATCGGCGGAAGCTGAAATCATCGCCGCGACAGCAGCAGTTCGCGAAGGAATCTACCTACACGAGCTCCTGCAGGAGGCGAAAATTCCAACTTCGCCAACCTTTCTCCTGCACTGCGACAACCAGAGCGCAATTAGAATCGCGAACAAGCTGGGATTCCTCAACCACACCAAACACATTGCGCTGCGATACTTCTTCGTCAAAGACAAAGTTGACAAGGGTAAGGTCGATCTGCCCAATTGCGCAACGGGTGACATGGTAGCCGACTTTCTCACAAAGCGACTGCCCCGTCAGCAGTACCAGCACTGCTCCGAACTCAACAGAGTGGTCAAGCGTGTCAAGATTTGCTACGGCCATAAGTGAAGGGGGGTGTTACGAATAGTAAATTGAGAAATATTATGAACTCCTGTCAGTAGCAAGCCAAGAATGCTAAGACGAGTACGAAGGCGAAAGGTCGGAATGACGCGCCGAGTCGCGTACAGTTGGCAAGCATCTGGACCGTTGGAGCAGAAGCATCAGGCATCTCCAAGAGCGAGGATTTTGGCGAGAACAGGTTTGTAATCGTCTGGAGTCGCACGGTTTGATTTCGCTTCAATAAAGGAATGTACCTATAGAGTACATGGCTAGTGTAGGTCGTTTCGAATTCCTTTGTAGTATTATATAAACCTATGTATGTTTTTGTTTTAATCGTCTTAGTTATTTTAAATTCACCCCGACCTAAGGTCAATACTTCTGCTCCAACACAATCTCTGCGAACCTTCATGAGGTAATCCTAGGCATGACAACCTTCTGATCGCAACAAAATCTATGCAATGTTGCCAAAAAAATAGGCATAATCGAGGAAAGGTTGTTAGCTAGTGCACGGTGTATCAAACACTAGGAGCAGGGCTGATTTTATCAAGGTAATTACCTTGATTTCAGGGTGATTTCAGACTTGTCACTTTCTGGACCCTGAGAAATCAGGTTTTTCACATTTTGGTCCCTGATCCATTCAGAGTATTGCTTTAGCGGACCCTGAAATTTTGTGTACACTCTCAGTGTAGGGTTTTCACGGACCCTGTCAATACAGAGTACGAGGCCTGTGGACCATGAATGCGATGTTATCGGGGCAAAGTTTCTCAGAAATTTCCTCCTGATAACCCCTTCGCATTGATTTCAGTGCCCCCCACGTGCGTAATCCCCCCCCTGCTTTATCGAGACGAAGTTTCTTCGAAGTTTCGTTCCCATACACCCACCATCTAGATCGGGCGAATCTGTAATGTCAGATTTTAGGTTGCTGTTATTGGTCGAAATAGATTGTCAGATTTCGAGCACATGTTGCGATTAGGGTAAAAAATGAGACTTCTGATTGAGTGAGACCCGGTAAAGAAAGAGCGCGTTACTACGACCCTGATTTTCAATTCTCGACCCTGAACATTCAGAGTTCACTACTTCTCAACCCTGAGCAATCAGGGTGCTGGTTTTCTCGAAAATGCGCCTTCAGGGTAAATTTTTTTTTTTTTTAGGTTGAAATCAGGGTACCTAAATTTGAAAAGTCAGCCCTGACTAGGAGTTTGTGCAACGTAATGAATTTAAAAAACGTCCTTTTGGTTAGGGTTCATCAACGGACTCTCTTGTATAGAACCTCCTTATCACTCTTTCTTTGTTCCACCATTTCTACCTTCCTCTAATACCCCTTTATCTTAGGGAAAATATGTCACAAGCAACCAACATGGGACTCGATAACGTGAATGGTAAAAAAATAACGAGTACGATCACTGTATTGGGTTTGCTGACGGGTTTGGTAAGTGGGGTCACGGATTCAGTCACTAACAACAGGTAAGAAATCACGCGAATGGTCACGCACGTAACTCCCGCAAAAAAAACTTAAAACTCAACAAAATTCCCGCTCGCGCCCAACCAATCAGCTAACTTCTAAGAAAACTAAAACCCAATCGGAATCGGATGCGGTTTGGGAACGGATCAACCCTAAACACCTGTCGAGTTGTGTTTAGGGTTGATTCATCCGAAAACGCATCCAGGTTCGTTTTGGGTATTATATTTTTTGGGCGGGAGTTTCATCTGTGACCATTCACGTTTTTTTTTCCCCAGTTGATTGTGATTGATTCCGTGAAATGTTTTATCAAACACGTGAAAACACCCTTTGCAATGATTGTACCCGCTATTTTTTTACCAAACATATTATCAAGACCCTTGTTGATTACGAGTGGCATATTTTCCCCTTATCTTAATTACCACGACTTTGTGCCAAACCAAACACACGAGGCAAGGAGCATCCACTGATTTCCCGAACCAAGTTTCTTGAACTTTGTGGGCTGCCCCTCGGCCAACATTATTTGAACCCAAACCTGCAACGCGTTCTACTCCCCCACCTCCCGAAACCCCAGCTGCTCCGAACCACCCCAGACTGCGCTGCTTTTAGCAGACGGGATTAGCTTCGGAAAAACCTAGGCGACCTAGGCTTCGTAGACCAAACCTCGCCCTGCCAAAACCACATGCTTGAAATCCTAGTGGTTTGATGCCATAATTGTGACTGGCAGCATTTCATTGCAAAGCATAGCACGAAACCACATGTCAACGCATATAACCGCATACGATCGCACTAAACAAGCTGAGTATCGAGCATCACCCCCACACCCTTCACACTTAGTGACCGCAACGCAGTCGGCAGATTGTTAGCGGACGCGTCGCAGACTCACAGCATTGCATCATCGTGCAATTACGCACCTTGGGCTGCTGTGCCGCGATATGGACAAGCCTCCTCCCGCCATGAGACCCGAGGCAGAAGGTTTTTTTACCATGATATTCTTTCATGCAGTCCGAAACGTCAGATCGCCGTTACTGTTGGTACTTTATTCGCAGCGCGAGCTCTGGTTCATCTTCGATTTAGTCACACGCAGTGATACAAAAGAGAGCGCTGGGTGTTACAATACCTTGCCTCAGCATGTATTTCCGCAATTACCATGGCAGCAGCCTAGGCTGGCGAGAACCGTCATCAGATCACACACGCGCGCGCCGCCGCGCATCCCCCCCTCCGCGTAGCCGCAGCGCGGCTCTGCGACCGACAGCGCTGCGCGTTGAGCGAATTGCACGGGGCGGACAGCAACACCTCCCCCTTGTCGTCCGCATCACCCCTTCTGTGCTCCCCGCGCGCCTCACGTGCCTTGCGCCCCTCGACCGCCTCGCGCGCCTTGCGCTCGTCGCGCTTCTTGCGCTGCTGCTGTGCCCTCCGTGCCGGAGCTCCCAAGCGCCGCCAGCAGCCCCCCCCGCGGTGCCTCCCCCGCAAAAGACCGCCGCCACTCAAGGTGCGGTGAGCGGAGGTGGAAGGGCGAGAGACAAGGAGGATAGATTAAAGGTTGTGAGAGAAATACTGTCGTAGTAGGTCCCCGGCCCGGGAGAACGCTGGTGCTTCGCCTGGCAGTAACCTGTCAGCGGTTATAGCCGACCGAGTAGGCAGATGAGCGGCAGTGGGCGGCAGTGGGCGGCAGTGGGCGGCAGTGGGCGGCAGTGGGCAGAGCGGAATATGGGTGGGAAATGGGAGGGAAATGAGGGGGGATGAGAGGAGAATGGGGGGAATGGGAGGAGAATGGGGGGAATGGAGGGGAATGGGGAGGAATGGGGGCGAATGGAGGAGAATGAGGGGGAACAGGAGGGGAATGGGGGGGATGCGGGGGAATGAGAGCTTAATGCGCCGGAATGGGAGGGGAATGGGGGGGAATGGGAGGTGAATGGGGAGAAATAGGAGGGGAATGGGGGGGAATGAAAGGGTAATGGGGGGAAATGGGAGGGGAATGGGGGGGAATGGGAGGTGAATGGGGAGAAATGGGAGGGGAATGGGGGGGAATGAAGGGTAATGGGGGGAAATGGGAGGGGAATGGGGGGGAATGAAGGGTAATGGGGGGAAATGGGAGGGGAATGGGGGGGAATGAAGGGTAATGGGGGGAAATGGGAGGGGAATGGGGGGGAATGAAGGGTAATGGGGGGAAATGGGAGGGGAATGGGGGGGAATGGGAGGTGAATGGGGAGAAATGGGAGGGGAATGGGGGGGAATGAAGGGTAATGGGGGGAAATGGGAGGGGAATGGGGGGGAATGAAGGGTGATGGGGGGAAATGGGAGGGGAATGGGGGGGAATGAAGGGTAATGGGGGGAAATGGGAGGGGAATGGGGGGGAATGAAGGGTAATGGGGGGAAATGGGAGGGGAATGGGGGGGAATGAAGGGTAATGGGGGGAAATGGGAGGGGAATGGGGGGGAATGAAGGGTAATGGGGGGAAATGGGAGGGGAATGGGGGGGAATGAAGGGTAATGGGGGGAAATGGGAGGGGAATGGGGGGGAATGAAGGGTAATGGGGAAATGGGAGGGGAATGGGGGGGAATGAAGGGTAATGGGGGGAAATGGGAGGGGAATGGGGGGGAATGGGAGGGGAATGGGGGGGGATGGGAGGGTAATGGGGGGAAATGGGAGGGGAATGGGGGGGAATGAAGGGTAATGGGGGGAAATGGGAGGGGAATGGGGGGGAATGAAGGGTAATGGGGGGAAATGGGAGGGGAATGGGGGGGAATGGGAGGTTAATGCGCGGGAATGGGAGGGGAAGGGAGGATTGGGGTGGGAATGGGAGGTAATGGGAGAAAGGATGGGTCTAAGACGGCACGACCACAACAATGGGATTGAAAGGAAAGGAATGTGAAGGAAAGGGGTTGGATGGGATGGGAGGAAATGGGAGTGGATAGAAGGAAATGCGGTGCTGGGTTGGGCTGGGCGGCATGGGACATCCATCACATCATACCCGCCTTCTCCTGCCTTGCCCTGCAATCCCGTAAACACCGCATCTCTTCATTCTCCCTCACCTCACCCCCCTCCCTCCCCCGCTCTCGCCCGTCGCGCCTCCGCCCCACCCAGTGGTGGCGCGTCTGGTGCAGCACTGGAAGCTGTCTATGCATGGGCACTGTCAGTCATTATCCCCCTTCGCTGTCGCCCATTCCCTCTCCGCCCCACCAGTGGTGGCGCGTCTGGTGCAGCACTGGAAGCTGTCTATGCATGGGCACTGTCAGTCATTATCCCCCTCCGCTGTCGCACTCTCCTCCTGCTTCCTCCTCCCTCCTCTTCGCCCCTTCGCACACCTTTCAACCATATCCCAATGGATGGCAGATTTGTCAACAACAACTCCTCGCACGCTCTGCCGGCCAGCCATGAAGACTGGGCGAGCAGAAGTTTTAGCAAAGGAAAGACAGTAGTACTCTTTTTACGTTGTACCCTGCTATGCTGTGGATGGCAGCTTCGCCAACAACAACTCCTTCTCGGGCGCTCTGCCAGCCTTCTTTGGCAGCATGACCAACCTTAGCGAGCTGTGAGTGCAGTTGTGAGTGCGGCTGTGAGTGTGTTGCCTGCCGCTGAGCGACCTGTGAGTGCACCAGCTGTAAGGGCACCAGCTGTAAGGGCACCAGCTGTAAGGACACCAAGGGCACCAGCTGTAAGGGCACCAAGGGCACCAGCTGTAAGGGCACCAAGGGCACCAGCTGTAAGGGCACCAAGGGCACCAGCTGTGAGTGCAGGTCAAAGTTCAACAGACTACCATGATCCTTTCCCGGAATTTCACCTTGCTAACGATTTCTTTACCTTTTGAGAAGGCCTGCTGCCCATCATGTACCTTGTTGGGCACTCCAGGTGCCATGACATGTAATGCCATGCCATATAATGCCATGCCATATAATGCCATGCCATGTACAGCTATGCCTTCTAATTCTCACCCCATGCCTGCCTCTTTGACTTCACTTCACCCCAACCCCACCCCATGCCCCCTCACGCAGCAAGCTGTTTGGGAACCCCATGAAAGGGTCGCTGCCAGAGTCCTACTCGCAACTCAAGAACCTCACCCACCTGTACGCCTCCTCACCCACCTGTACGCCTCCTCACCCACCTGTACGCCTCCTCACCCACCTGTACGCCTCCTCACTCACCTGTACGCCTCCTCACCCACCTGTACGCCTCCTCACCCACCTGTACGCCTCCTCACCCACCTGTACGCCTCCTCACTCACCTGTACGCCTCCTCACCCACCTATACGCCTCCTCACCCACCTGTACGCTTCCTCACCCACCTGTACGCCTCCTCACCCACCTGTAAGCCTCCACCTCACGCATGCCACGCGTGGGCTTGTCTCACTCACGTAGGAGCTACACTCCATGCTACTCTTGCGGCATTTCCCCTTGCTTGGCGCCTCTGCTGGTTAGGTTTACTTGGACTTGCACTGGCGTGTGCTCTAGGTTTACTTGGACATACACTTGCACCTCTCATGCTTCCCCTCGCCCTGCACTCATCGCATGCCCCTCTCTAGCATCGTCCTGCTATGTGCTTCCTTCATCCTCCCTTCATGCCTCCCATGCCTCCCATGCCTCCCATGCCTCCCATGCCTCCCATGCCTCCCAGGCCTCCCATGCCTCACGATGCACTCCAACTGCCTCACTCACCTCTCATCCCCCCTCCTTCCCCCCTTCCTCTCACCATCTCGCCCTCTCACTCTCCTCGCCCCCTCCCTTTCACCCTCCTCCCACCCTCTCACCCTCTCACCCTCCTCCCCCCTTCCCTCTCGCCCTCTCACCCTCTCACCCTTCTTCCCCACCCCGTCCTCTCGCCCTCTCACCCTCTCACCCTTCCCCCCCCCCTCCCGCCCTCTCGCCCTCTCACTCTCTCACCTTTCTCCTCTCCCCGCCCTCTCGCCCTCTCACTCTCTCACCCTTCTCCCCTCCCCCCGCCCTCTCGCCCTCTCACCCTCTCACCCTTCTCCCCTCCCCGTCCTCTCGCCCTCTCACCCACTCATCCTTCCCCCCTCCCCGTCCTCTCGCCCTCTCACCCTCTCATCCGCCCCCCTCTCAGGCATCTGGCAGAGATGGGTCTGTCAGGGCCCATCCCTGACTCATGGGGCAACATGAAAAGTCTGCAGTACTTGTGAGTGTGTGGCGCTTGTGAGTCTGCAGCACTTGTGAGTCTGCAGCACTTGTGAGTCTGCAGCACTTGTGAGTCTGCAGCACTTGTGAGTCTGCAGCACTTGTGAGTCGGCAGCTCTTGTGAGTCTGCAGCACTTGTGAGTCTGCAGCACTTGTGAGTCTGCAGCACTTGTGAGTCTGCAGCACTTGTGAGTCGGCAGCTCTTGTGAGTCTGCAGCACTTGTGAGTCTGCAGCACTTGTGAGTCTGCAGCACTTGTGAGTCTGCAGCACTTGTGAGTCTGCAGCACTTGTGAGTCTGCAGCACTTGTGAGTCTGCAGCACTTGTGAGTCTGCAGCACTTGTGAGTCTGCAGCACTTGTGAGTCTGCAGCACTTGTGAGTCCGCAGCACTTGTGAGTCTGCAGCACTTGTGAGTCTGCAGCACTTGTGATTCTGCAGCAGTGCAACCCAACTGCGTCAACTTGTTCCTCCTTGCTACACGCGCACATTATTGTTTTCATGGCTCGCTTCCCTCCATTTTCCACTCATCTAGCCACCCCTCCAGCCTCTTCTCTTCACCCTTCGTCCCCTGTCTCTTTCTTCCCCCGTTCCGCTCACGCACTGCCGCCCCCCTGCCCTCCTGCCAGCCATTTGAGTCGCAACAATATCTCAGGAAACCTTCCTGCCTCACTGGGGCAACTCACCAACCTCATTGAATTGTAACAATTTCATTCATCTCTTCAACCTCATTGAATTGTAACATTTTTTTTCATCTATCCAACTTCATTGAATTGTAACAACTTTATTCATCTATCCAGCCTCATTGAATTGTAACAATTTTATTCATCTATCCAACCTCATTGAATTGTAACAAATTCATTCATCTCTCCAACCTCATTGAATTGTAATCATTTTATTCATCTATCCAACCTCATTGAATTGTAACCATTTTATTCATTTATCCAACCTCATTGAATGTACCTATTTTTTTCATCTATCCAACCTCGTTGAATTGTAACAATTTCATTCATCTATCCAACCTCATTGAATTGTAACAATTTCATTCATCTATCCAACCTCATTGAATTGTAACAATTTCATTCATCTATCCAACCTCATTGAATTGTAACAATTTCATTCATCTATCCAACCTCATTGAATTGTAACGATTTATTTATCTATCCAACCTCATCGAATTGTAACCATCCCATTTCATTAACCCCAGTGAACTGTAACCATCTCTCCAAATGTAACCATCTCGCCAACTGTAACCGTCTCGCCAACTGTAATCATCTCACAAACTCTAGCCATCGCAGCAACTGTAGCCATCGCAGCAACTGCAACCATCGCAGCAACTGTAACCGTCGCAACAACTGTAACCATTGCAACAACTGTAACCATTGCACCAGCTGTAACCATTGCACCAACTGTAAACATTGCACCAACTGTAACCATTGCACCAACTGTAACCATTGCACCAACTTTAACCAGCGCTTGTTCAGCATCCCCATTGCTCCTCTTATTCGTGCCCTTACCGTATAGGCCAGCCTGATGCTCAACGAACCATGAGCCTCAATGTTTGTTGTCTGCTTTTCTACCTACACTCTGCCATTCCTCCTGCCTTTCCATCCCCCCCTTCCTCTCTCCCTGCCTCTTCCCTCCTGCCTTTCACACTCCAAAATTCTCCCTTGTTTTGTTCTTCCCCGTCTCACTCTGCCTGCCTGCCCTCCCCTCCCCCTGCACAACCCCCATGCAGCTCGGCCTATCACAACCCGTGGCTGGAGGGAAAGCTGCCGCCCTGCTGGGCCACCATTCAGTCCCTTGGCATTCTGTACGGCCCCCTCCCCCCTCCTGCACTCCTGCGCCCCCTTCTCCTCACCTTGGCACTCTTTTCTCCGTGCTCTCTCCCCTCCTTCTGTCCTGCAGTTTTTCTTGTTGCCTTGCTGAGCCGCCGTTCAGTCCCTTGGTACTCTACTCTGTATGCCTTACTCCTCCCTGGCCCATTCCCGCTGCCCTCTCTCCACCGACTCCTGCTGCCCCAATACCCACCATCCATACACCATTCTCCCCCCACCCCCCCCCCCCCTTCCCCACGCCACCGTTACCCCTTTCAACTCCCTCCTCTCCACTCCCCCCTTCCACCCACATCAGCTCCCTCCTGGGCACCAGGCTTCGCTGCCCCACATGCCCTGCCAGCTGCCCCACATGCCCTGCCAGCTGCCCCACATGCCCTGCCAGCTGCCCCAGTACTCACCATCCATCTATCATTCTCTCCCCCGTGCCCTCTATATCTCCCTCCTCTCCGCTCCTCCCCTCCCACCCCCACCAGCTCCCTCCTGTGCACCAAGCTATGCTGCCCCAGTTCCCACCATCAGTCCACCAATCTCCCTCTCTCCCCCCCACCCCCAACCCCCCAATCCCTCCCACCCCCACCAGCTCCCTCCTGGGCACCAAGCTGCGCTGCCCCACGCGCCCCACCGACTCCTGCTGCCCCGGGTCCCTTCAGAGCGACCTGCCCTTCTGCTCCAACGTCTGCAGCGACTTCTGCCAACAATGCAAACCACCCCGTAACCCCCTCTCTCCCCGCCGACCACCATCCTGTCTGTAACTGCTTCCTCGTCTCACCACCTCCTAGCCTCTCTGCACCACTGCCCTATTCGAACAACCAACTTGCCACTCATATCTGTCTATATGTATTGACCACTCAATTCCTCTCCCTATCACCCTTAATTCGGCCAACATATACTTTCCCTGGATTGACTCCACAGCTACTGCGGTCACTAAGTGCTACTCCCCACCCCAGCCTCCCCATCCCCACCCACCAGTGCTGTCGCCAGCAGGCATAGCAGGCGTGGTGGTGGGGAGTGTGGTGCTGCTGGTGGTGGTGCTGCTTGTTCTGCTCTACGTGTGGTACTACTACTGGGGACCGGGCAGCTGCAAAGGTGAGTGGAGAGCAGAGCGAGTGGGGTACAGAGCGAGTGGGGTGCGATGGTGAATAAAGGTCAATGGTGAGTGGGGTGGGAGTGTGAGTGGGTTGGGAATGGGAGTGGGGTGGGAGCGGGAATGGGGTGGAAGGGAGTGGGAGTGGGAGTGGGAGTGGGAGTGGGGTGGGAGTGAGAGTGGGAGTGAGAGTGGGGTGGGAGGGAGTGTGAGCGCTGCTCAGCATATCGTTGGCACTAACCATGGTAAAACAACAAGTGTGAACCATTGTGCCGAGAGATATTCCAAAGGAGTGCATCTCCCTCTCCTCCTCCATCCCGCCAACTCTGCTCCCCCGTCCTCTCCTCCTCTCTCCCACCCACTGTTCTTCCCGGACCTGTATCTCCCCCCACCCCCCCCAAATCCTTCCCCCCTTCCCACCCCCCTCCTCATCCCCCTCCCCTCCTCCCCCGCTACTTTCCAGCGTGGGAGAGGGAGCTGCAGCAGGGCTTCAGGAGGTACACGTGGAGGGAGGTGATGGAGGCGACCAACCAGCTGAGCCCCGACAACCTTCTCGGCAAGGGCGGCTTCGGCTCCGTCTATTTGGGAGTCATCGGCGGCTCACAGCAGAGCGGGTGGAGCACAGGGGTGTGGAAGCGGGCAGAGTCTAGCTGGAAAGCAGCAAACAGCGGCATGGGTGCGGGGGGTGGCAAGAGCAGGGAGAGTGGCAAGAGCGGGGAGAGTGCCATGAGGGGTTGGAATGGCACGAGTGGCGGGGGTGGGACGGCAGACGCAGGGAGTGGGACGAGTGGTGGGAGTGCGACAACTATGGGGAGCAGCATGATTGCGGGCACTGGGAACACTGCTTCTGTTGCTCCGGTGGGCGACATTGCCGCTGGGGTGGGCAGCCGTGTGCGTGTGGTGGGAGGCGGTGTGCGTGTGGTGGGTGGCATGGAGGTGGCGATAAAGCGAGCAGCTGTTGTGGAGCGATCCTCCAACGTCGCCACCATGTTCGCCTCCTTGTCTCTGGTCTTCCCAGGTCTCTGCCTCCCCTCCCGCCCTCACCTTCCCCGCCCTGCCTTCCTTGCGTCGAGGGGTGGCAGCGCGTTGCTCCTCACTCCTCGTTTCCCCCGACGACTGCTCCCCTGCAAACTCTCCACATGGACGTGTGGGGCCCAGCCTGCGTCAGTAGACAGGGCCGCGAGTGCTACCGCTGGTTGTTGACGACTACACGTGTTACACCAAGGTCTTCCCCTTGCGCAGCGAGTGTCAGGTCCCTGATGACTTGATCCCTTGGATCCGCGCAGTCCGTCTCCAGCTCAGCGAGCGGTTCCGCCATGACCTTCCTGTCCTGCGTGTGCACTCTGACGGAGGTGGTGAGTTCTCCTCCAACCTCTTGCGGGAATTTTGTTGTGGGGAGGGAATTCTCCAGTCGTTCACACTTCCAGACTCCCCTCACCAAAATGGGATTGCTAAGCGCCGCATTGGCTTAGTCATGGAGGTTGCTTGTACCTCTATGATCCATGCGGCTGCTCCCCATTTTCTGTGGCCGTTTGCGGTCCGGTACGCTGCGCATCAGCTCAACATCTGGCCCCATGTCTCCTTGCCAGATACCTCCCCTACACTGCTTTGGATGGGGCAGGTTGGCGATGCATCAGTGTTCTGGGTCTTGGGCTCTCGTGCCTTTGTTCGCAATACTTTTGCGGACAAGCTCTCCGCCCACGCTATTCCCTGCATCTTCCTTGGCTTTCCCCCTGACGCACGTGGCTGGCAGTTATACCACCCCACCTCGCGTCGTGTCCTCCATTTTGAGGACGTCACGTTTGATGAGTCGGTTCCCTTTTACCGTCTCTTCCCCTACCGCTCTGCCCCTCCCTCATCCCTGCCGCTCTTCCTTGCTCTCGGTCTCCTTCCGGTAGACCCCCTCCCCCCCTAGGGTCCTACTTCCTCAGGTGTGTCTCAGGTAGACCCTCTCCCTAGTACTGTGCTTGTTGAGGTAGCTGTCGACTCTGGTGCTGCTTGAGGTGCTGCATCTGGGGGTGCGGAGCCTAGGGGTGTGGAGCCTGGGGGTGCTGATTCTGAGGGTGCCGGGACTAGGGGTGCTGAGCTTGCGGGTGTGGAGTCTGGGGGTGCTGAGCCTGCGGGTGTGGAGCCTGGGGGTGCTGAGTCTGGGGGTGCTGAGCCTCAGGGTACTGCTTCTCTGGCGGTCCTGCGGGTGCTTCACCACGACTGTCTCCCCGGCTGGAGCCACTCTCCTCGTAGCAGTTGCGCGAGTGGTTTACTCAGCGCACATGCCTTTGGAGTGGAGCTGCCGGAGCTGGCGACTCTGCTGCTAGAGACAAGGGAGCTGGAGGTGTTGGTGTTACTGCTAGAGCTGGTGGTACCGGAGGTGCTGCAGCAGCTGGTCCTTGAGGTGCTCGTAACAGGGGTACTGGAGCTAAGAGCGAGTGGCTGGTAGACAGAGGAGTAGGCTGTGGCGAGGAGAACTGGAAGCCGAAGCGCTGAAGGACTTGGTGCACCATGTGTGACTGAGTCAAGGTGATGGTGCGCCGTGCTCTGTCCCGGGTGATCTGTAGGCCAAGATAGCTGCGCAGTTCACCCAAGTCAGTGCAGGTGTGTCTGTTCTGCAGTTCCTACTTCTAAAGGGTCAGTGCTTCAGTGTCAGCAGTGGCAAAGACGAGGTCGTCGACGTACACTAGGATGTAGAACGGCGGCAGCGATGTGTCGGTGCGTAGAAACAGCGACGGGTCAGTAGTAGCAAGAGCAAACCCAAGAGCCGCAAGTGTAGTCCTCAGTGTGTCGTGCCACTCGCGAGGCGCCTGGCAGAGACCGTAGACTGGCCGCCGAAGGCTCCACTGGGTACGTGCTAGAAACGACCCAGTGAAGCCATGTGGGCGGCGCAGTCAGATCTCCTCGTGCACGCTTCCCTGCAGGAAAGCTGTGCTGAAGTCCAGAGAGTGCAGCTCGTAGTCACGCTGAGCAGCAACGTGCACCAACACCCGAAGAGTGGTCATCTTCGGGATGGGGGAAAAGGTCTGGAAGTAGTCAACCCCCTGTCGCTGACTGAAACCTCGAGCAACGTAATGCGCCTTGAAGGCAGGCAGAGAACCCGGCGGCCGCTTCACCCTGAAAGTCCACATGCCATCGACTATGTTCGCCCCAGGTGGGGGAACCTCGTCAACGTAGGTGCCTATGAACTTCCAAGATGCCATCTCGGCATCCATGGCTGCCTGCCATTGAGAGGAGTAAGGACCCGTAATCGCCTCTGGTGCATCCAGGTCTCCCTCAGGGGAAAGCTGCATGGAAGCGAAACGAGGTACAGCAGCTGCAAGACACTCAAAATCCTCCTGCCTGTCCTCAAGGAAGTCCGTGCCAAGAGCACACTCAGCCCCGACGGACGGAGGACTGGCAGACGCAGACTCAGCAACTAGAGAAGTGGCGTAGTCTAGACGACAGGCAGCAGCAAAGTCAAGAAGCTCAGCAACGAGAGCAGACGCAGCACCAGACTCAAAATAAGGGTCAGTGACATCAGTGGCGAGAAGACGAGAGACAGTGGGACTGGCAGCACGAGTGCGGTCAGACTTAGGGTCAGGAACCTCAGGAAGAGAGGACTTAGGAGGAGCAGGCAGAGGAACACGAGGTGGAAGAGAAGAAGGACAAAGGGTCATGGCGTGCGTGCCGGGGACAGGAGGAGGACGCGAACAAGGAACGCGACGAGCAGTGCGAACAGGCGAGACAGGACGAGACGCAGGCTCACGACGCTCTGTAAGACCGCCGGACTGCTCAGTGTAAGGAGAAGGAGCAGGCAGTGGAGAGGCCGTCTGTAACGGCGGCTGCGACTGGTCAGGCGGGGGACAAAGGCGGGGAGGAGTAAGGCCAGTAGAAGACGGGGTACTAAGAACCTGCTGAAGCAGAGAAACGAAGTACGGTCGCGGGCGAAGAGCACCACCAGGGTCAACAGCTCCAGCTCCTCCAGCTCCAGCACCTCCAAAACCAGGGCCTCCAACTCCAGCGCCTCCTGCGCCAGTGCCTCCAACTCCAGCTCCTCCAGCTCCAGTGAAACCAGCGTTAGTAGCTCCAGACTCTGTAGGGTCTCCAGCTCCAGCACCCTCAACAACATCAAGGCTCACACGCCGAGAAAACCACTCACGCAGCTGCTGCGGAGACAGTCTCGGCGAAGCACCAGCAGAACCTCCAGACGAAGCAGCACTGTCACGGGATCGAATTCTCAATCGAAACTTGTCACTAAAACTGAATACAAGGCGTTTTTATACTCGGAAAATACAAGGATAAACTAGATAAAACGAACCTTCGGGAACACGCCCTTCCCGATACTACAATCACAAGTGCGCACAAGCACGCAAGGCTATTGGCACTTGGGATTACGCCCAGATTACACCGTATACACCACTGTCGGCGCTGTCGGTGCCGTATAATAGATATGTCGGTGGGAAAGGTAGGAAATAAGTGAAATAAAGAGAAGGCTCTAGAAAATAGAATAGTTGGCCGATTGAGATGAAATAAAGACCAAAATAAAGAGGAGAAAAAGGAGAATAAGATAAAGGAAAATATAATAATGACAAATATTATAACAGGGACGTCCTCTCACACTTCCCCCCCTCAAAGCTGGGTGGTAGAAGTAACACCTTGCTTGACAAGGTAGTCCTGGAGAGGACGACGGGCGTTATCCATGTCGTGTTCAGGTACCCAGCTATCCTCGGAAGGATCATATCCTTTCCAACGAATCAAGAGCTCCAAAATGCCGTTACGTCGTCGTCGGTGCGCCAGAACGGCTTCGACTTCATACTCAGGTTCCCCATTAACGGTCACTGGCAGTGGCGGCGGTGGCTGGCGACCTTTGAAGACCGTGTTCGGGTCCCGATAGGGCTTGAGAAGTTGAACATGGAAGGCATTGTGAATTCTCCAGGTAGCTGGTAAACGCAAGCGGAAGGTTACTGGAGTGACCTGCGCCTCGACGAGAAAAGGTCCGCAGAAGCGAGGTCGGAGCTTAGACGGAAGATGGCTACTTTCGAGATTGCGTGTATCCAGAAGCACTTGATCGCCAATCTTGATGGAATGATCGTTGCGACTCCGATCAGCGAGTTTCTTTTGTTGCTGCTGGATAGTCAAAAGACGTTTATGCGTGCGCTCCCACAAGTGGTGCATAGTGGTAATGAAGTCATGTGCGGTTTGCACCGTGGCGGGTACTGTCGGTTTCTGAGGCGTGAGTGGGTTGCGACCGTAACAGAGGAAGAAAGGAGTTTGCCTTGTCGCGGCGTGCGTGGCGTTGTTATACGCAAACTCGAGAACCGGCAGGTGCGCATCCCATTTAGAGATATCGTCCTTACACGCTGCTCGCAGAAAATGTTCGACAATCTGGTTGAGGCGCTCTGTCTGACCATCCGTTTGGGGATGATAGGCTGATGACATGGCGAGTTTGGTCCCCATGAGCGACATGAGCTCCTTCCAGAATTTACTCGTCAATTTCGGGTCTCTGTCGGAGATCAGCGTGGTTGGAATGCCATGTTGCGAGATGACGTAGCGGATGAATAATTGCGCTGTCTCCTCGGTGCGAGCCGTTGTGTGTGTCGGGACGAAGTGTCCCATTTTGGAAAATTTGTCGATGACGACTAGAATGGCGTCGTAACCAGCGTTGGTAGGTGGTAACCCGGTGATGAAGTCCAGGCTAACCACTTGCCAAGGCTGTTCAGGGACTGGAAGAGGCTGGAGTAACCCGGCTTTCTTCTGTTTGCTGCTCTTCATCCGTTGGCATGTGTCGCACGAGGTGACGAATTTTTGTACGTCATCCGCCATGTGGGGCCAATAATAATGCTTCGCAATACCGGCAAGCGTCTTGTTACTACCGAAGTGGCCCGCGTAGAGAACATCATGATATTCTTCGAGTAATAACTGGCGTAAAGGAGGGTAATTAGGCACCCATATTTTTGTGGATCCCTTACGGTACGCGATGTCTTGATCCCAATGCAGAAGATGGCGCTTTTCGGCTACGGAGACTTCGGGGTCAATGGTGTATCCATGCGTGAAGAGTCCCTTCAAAAGTGGGTTCATGTCATCGACTTGTAGGGCGGCAACGTGTGCAGGGCGACTGAGTGCGTCTGCCTTGTTCTTGTGCCCCGGCTTATACACGATGTCGTAATGGAAGTGGGTTTCGAGAAAGTCAATCCATCGGAC